AACAGTGCACACAAACAGGAGAATGTGCCTCAAGACAGAACGTAGACAAACCCAGGGTTCCCAGAGTGAGTTTACCCAGGGCCTATGGGAGGGCAGATCAGCGGCGGCCGCGAGCGTTCAGCACCTCGGACAGCGACCTGCGGGCCAGTCTCTGAGACCGCGAGAGAGACCCAGGACCTTGTACTCTCACACACCTGGGGACAGGGTGTTGGTCTGAAATGGCAGCCGGCGCTGGTGGACCTTTTTCATTCTGCTCTTTGGGGGTTTCTTTTAGAGAGCGCTTGACCTCGGGCTTGCTTCTATTCCCGGGGCTGCTGATGGACTCCACTTACCTGCATTTCTATGGGACGCGGATGCCACACAGTCCCTATTTACAGCTGTAAGCTAAGGAGCTTTTGAATGAGCCTTAAAATCAGGAGGTTCGAACCCTCCAACTTCTGTTCTTAGAATTCTTTTGAGTCTTCTAGGCTCTCCGCATTTCCAAATCTTAGAACCAGCCATCAATTTCTGGCTCCAGTGAGGTTTTGGGCTGGGGTTGTTCTGCCTCTGACTGCGGCTCAGGGGAGGGGCTTCCTAACAATGTTGGGGCTCCCAGTCTACAAATCTGGTACACCCCCGTTTCTTTAATTTCTCTCATCAATGTGTTGTAGCTTATGGTATAAAACCTTGCTTAGGTTCTCTTAGATTTGTTCTAGGTACTTCCTGTTTCTTTGATGCCATTGAAAAATTTAACTTCCAATTGTCTCTTTCTGTTTGTTTCTTGGCCTTTGTATCCTACCAGGTTGCTAAACTCACAGGCTTTAGTGGCCTTTTTGCAGATTTCTAGGGACTTTCTATGTTACGAGTTTTTTCTTCTGGGGGGAAAAATGAACTTATTGAAAAGCTTGCTACAATTGTGGTGGTAGGATCATGACTCTCCAAAATGTCCACTTATTTTTTGGTTTTTCGGATTAAACCCAGGGTGCTCTACCACCAAGCTACATCCCCAGCACTTTAAATTTTGAGATAGGGTCTCACTAAGTTGCCCAGGCAGGCCTCAAGCTTGTGATCCTCTTGCTACAGCCTCCCTCCGGAGTGGCTGGGATCACAGGCACGTCCCATTGTGCCCAGCAAGATGTCCATGTTTGATCCCCAGAACCTGTGACTATGTTATATGACAGAGGGAAACTAAGGTTGCTAATCAGCTGACCTTGAAACAGGGGGATTACTGTGATTTTTCCAGTGTAATCAAAGGGTCCGTAAAAGTGGAAGAAGGAGGCAGAAGAGTCCATGTCAGAGGGATACGTTGTGAGGAAGGCTTCCCTAGCCATGCTGCGTCTGAAGATGGATCAGGACCATGAGCGGAAGGTCGTGGGTCCCTCTAGAAAGAGCCAAAAGCAAATAGAAGAGCTGGAGAAAGTGGGGACATAGATTTCCCAGAGCTGGAGGCTCTGGAAAGGGACACAGCTTGGTCCCCTCCTTCATTTCAGTCCAGCGACCTGTAGGCCTGAGCCTGTGACCCTCTGTCATGGCAGCAATGGAAACGAATAAGCATGCACCGTCACCTACACGCACCTACCGTGGCCTCTGCCACGTTTTCTCCCCTGGTGGGTACAGACTGTGCGTTTGCGGTAGTGTTATGCTGTGTGGTGTTTTTGGTAAAATCATCTGAAAACAAGTTGCAGACATAGTTCTTCACCCTCGAATGCCTCAGCGTGAGCCATATGAACCAAAGCAGGTTCCTTCACACAATCACAGTACCGTTCTCAAATTCAGGAAACTCGCAGTCACTACCACAGTATCGTCCAATATGGTTCACCTTCAAACATCGCAGATTGTCTCAGTGACGTCTTCTCTGGCTTTCTCTAATGATGCAGAGTTCAATCCAGAATCCCGTGTTGTGTTTATCAAATCTCTCTCATCTCCTTTATCTAAAAGAACAGTTCTTTCAGTGCCCCCCTTTTTTTGTGGGGGGTCTTTATGACATTGACATGAGTGTCCAACCTGACCCTCTTCCTGGCTGTGCCCAGATCCTGATAGTCATTGGGTGGGGGTGGGGCAGAGGCTGAGGGAGGCTGCAACTCTTAGAGGACAGAAGAGTGGGCATCGGGAACTCACTCAAGTGTGGGGCCCTTCTGAGCACTGGACCCTGTGCACACCCATGAAGTGGGCCTGCACCCATGTCCATGTCTGTCCTTCGGTCTGTACTGTCAGGTAACAACAGAGGGTGTTTCCTCCACTCTGGAGGGTCCCCTGGTGTCCCAAGTAAGTACTATTCTGACCTCTGTCACTATAGATGGTCTTGCTTGTCCTTGAACTGCACATAAATCGAATCCTACAACATATGTCTTTTGTGGTGGGTTATTTGTCATTTGACTGTGAGATCTGCCTGTTGTCTCATATACCAAGGGATTCTTCTCTGCTGCCCTGGGGCCAGTCATCCACTGTAGGATTACACCGGTCCCCACTTTTGTCCAGCCTGCTCAACGGTTCCCGAATTGGCCTGCAGGAGCTCTTTCCACTGTGTCCTGTGAACTTTTGGCCAACTCGGATCATTTTGAGCACTGACTCCTCTTTTAGGTCAGCCAGGTGTTGCAGGCTCATCTTGTACTTTCCTGGCCCAGCCCTGGAACTGGCCTTTCTCCAAAAACCCCTGGCTCCTCTGGGTGGGGGGTTCCTCAGAAATGATCGGCCGTGGCTCCAGAGGAGTTCTGTAATGTCACCACCTGAGGTCTTTCCTGCAAAGCTGGGGATACATTTTTTTTTTTTTAAATTCTCGACTTCACGCTGACACCTCTAGTTCCAACCCGATACCCTGGGGTTCCTCCTGCCTCCCCACCGGCTCGCGAGGCGGCTCTGCAGCACCAGGGCACTCGCTTGCTCAGAGCGTTAGCCTGAACCAGAGGCCCTTTGCACGAGGCCAGTGGCTCTCCACGTCCCTCCCCACGTCTGCGGCGCAGGGCGACATACCGCCGAGCCGGGCCGGGCCGGGCCTGGCGCACCTGCAGCGTGGCCTGTCCCCGCGCCCAGCGGCGGCACCTGGGCACCAGGAACATCCTCCTCTCCCCGAGGAGGCCGAGCCTCAGCGTTGGGACCAGGGCTGCCTTCATCTCGGCACACAGTAGGCGCCTGCGAACGCCCGCGGGGCCCGGCCCGTCCGGAGCCTCCCTCGGGC